CTCATCCCACTGCCCAGGGGCCAGGCCTCAACCCACATCGTCTGGGGTGTCCGCAGCTGTCAGTGCGTCTTGGAATGTGCACCCTCAGGGCTCACACGCTGAGCGAACCTGGCTGTGTGATTACAGCCCCAGGCCTCTGTGTGAAGATTTAATTTCACTTGTTAAATAATTTACAGCTCTGGCAGGTCTGAAGAAGGTTCGCTTGCAAATGCCGGTGTTTTTAATTTAGTTTATTTCCCTCAAAACTCTGAGTTTGAAAGAATAAACTTAAAAAGGGCACGGTTCAGGTTTTCTTCCCCCTTCAGTTAGTGGTGTTCCTTCGGATAGCTGGAGGAAATGGCTTGGAGTCAGATGCAGGAAATAAAGTGAAAATTAGACACTCACAGCCATATTGGCAAGAATGAGAGACAGACAGACAGAGAGGAATGCAGGAAGAAAGGAAGGCAGGTAGAAACCTGGGTTTATATTAGATGTGTGCACACACATGTGCAACCCCTAGTACACAATGGGAATATGAAGGGGATATTGGGACCTCCTGTGGGACAGTGTGCCAGCTGGAGACAACACGTTTTGTACTTGGAAATAAGAGAGTGCACACTGAGTTGTACCTATGTGCTGTTTTGTTTACTCGTTGTTGTTGTTTTTCCCTGTGAGCAGCACACTATGGGGTATTTTGTCTAAACACGACTACACCACGTGTGGCCAGCAGGAAGGGGAAGCGTGTGTTTCTAACCTGTCTCTCCGTCTTCACTCCCTGTCCCACCTGCTGCGGCCCCTCCCTGTCTCCCAAACCCTTCTCGGGTCTTAGGCAGAACGTGGTGGCCAGCAGAGGAAACGAGAAAGCAGGGTTCCAGAACGGTCACTGCAACTCTTTCAGGCAACCATGTTGTCAACACCAGCTTCACCACCTTGAAGTAAATTCGTACATATTACCTACCCTCACAGACAGGTTTGAACATCTCTATGGTGCCCAAACTGAAACAGAAACCAAAGAAAATCACCGTGATCCCTGAACCTCTCTGGGGCACGCTGGCTCCTGCTTCTTCCCCGCTGCGCCCCGCCCATGCCGCCATCGTCCGGGCCCAGTCTCCAGGTCACATTGCTGGCTTCTTCCCTCCCCGCCTCCTTTCCCATGACTGCTGGCTGTAGGGACCACTAGGAGGCTGATGGTTTTGTAGACCATTGAGATGATGTACCGGACAGGGCTCTGGGCACGGTATCTGTCTCTACACATCCTCATGGTTATTTTAGAGGCCTCATGGAAGTCTATTTCCCCAAGTAGCCTTGATTGCCATCCGAATTCAACTCTAAAATCAAGAATATCAAGGCCGGAAGGAGCCATGAAGCCGTCTCCCAGGGTAAGATGCCGTCTGAAACGTCCCTGCACGGCAGCCTGCCTGAGGCCTGAATGGCTCTGGTGGAAAAGAGCTCAAGGCCTGCCGGGCAGCCTGTTCCACTTCATCTGCTTTGCCTGTTAGAAAGCTCTTTCTCTCCTTCTTTTCTTTTCTTTCCTTTCTTTCTTCTTTCTTTTGTCTTTCTCTCTCTCTCTCCCTCCCTCCCTTCCTCCCTCTCTCCTCTCTCTCTCTTTCTTTTCTTTCTTTCCTTCTTTCCTTTTTTT